TATTAGACCTTCCTAAGAGGCACAGAATTCAAAATCACTGAATGCAGAATATAGTCAATGATATTAACATAGTGTTGTACAGTTGCAGAGGGAAGCTACACTTGGGAGCATTCTGTAACACACTGACTTGTCCAATTGCTACGTTGCACACCTGAAACTAACATAACATTGTGTGTCAACTATACTTCAAAAAAAGTTGCTGAACATTACCTCCGCTACATATATTTGAACGTTCTCTCTCTTAAAACATTGCAGCCTCTCCTATCAAAGGAAACATCTGAGAAACACAAAAAAAAAAAAAAAAAAAAAATCACATTCAGCGCTGTCCTACGGGATGATCTCCTAGTCAACCCAGTGGGCCTGTGAGTCCCACTTCCAAAGAGGAAACGTCCCAAGAAGTCCTTCCTCCTTCCATCCACACAGGCCTGCCGTAATTCTAATTCACCCCTGAATTCTAATTCACCCCTGCAGTCCGCAGTAAACCAAAGGAATGATGTACTCCGACTCTCGGAATTTAGGACAAAGCCTTACTTCAATTAAAATGCCTATGGATTTTATGCCAAAGGGAGAATGTTTTAAATTTGAATTATTAGCTTCCAGCTATCATCCAACCCGTGTAAACTCTCTAAGGCTCCACTTTGTTTTGTTTAAAACTGATCTTGTGCTTGTAAATTTTGGCTGCTGTGCATATTACTGTTCAGGCATAGACAATACAAAAGGAAAAGCAGCTTTGATGTTTATGAGCTGCAGACTTTAACATCCTAAGCTCATCTCCACCAGGGTCATCACTTATGGAGGGCTATACGTACGTACATGTTGTTGGGGTGGGGGAGGTGCGTGTGTGTGTTCACGGTGCTTTGCATATATCAATCCATTCATCCATCAGCAAGTATTTATTGAGCCCCTACTGACATGCACCTAATTAGGCATTAGAGATAAAAAATGATGAGCAAATCCAAGGTCACAACCTTGTGACAACCTGTGGGGAAAGCAGATAATCAAAGAAGCAATGACTCTACAATATGGTAAACACCAGGATGGGGACAACAGGTTATTAAAAATAATACCTTAGGCAGTGACGGTGTGTCAGATGTTTACAGCCACTGTCTCCGACTCCCACAACACCCTATAAAGGCAGGTGTCTCCTCACTTTCCAAATGAGTATACTAAGGCTGGCCCACACCACACGCTGCATGCTTATCAGCATCAGCGTTCACATCATCATTTATGTCTCAAATCCCCATTCTGGTCTCGATATTGCACCTGCCAACGTGCATTAGTTTGTTCAGGCATGGGTCAAGCTTTCGCCTGGTGTTACACAGCGCACTCCGTGCCCTGGGGAGAAAAGACCGCGGAACTCACCCAAAAAGAACGTTCAAGCTGGCTACAAGAGGCAACACAAGAATAACGACAACACAGATCAAGGACACAGCATGGCACGAAGCCGTCTGCGGTCACGTACCAACACAGAAGAATGATTCAGACGGCACATCTTTGGTTTCTAGAAGGGGCACATCATTGTGGTGGGATTTCTTCAGGAGGGAAGACCTAGGTCTTAAGATCGTGTAAGGTGAGACAGTGGAAGAGGAAAGAAGGCCTGCTCCCCGGGGAAGAGGTGCTCAGAGAAGTGTCTAAAAGGCTCACAGGTTAGGCTGAACCACTGCCAACCACATAACCAGAGCCCAAAGGTGGGACAAGCCAGCCTGTGGCCTTCCAAGTGCCAACTGATAAGAGTGGCTGAGGCACCCTGGGGCGTTAAAAGGACCCAAGCGGACCAGCAGATGGAGAAATCTGCATTTATAAGAACCCCTCCCAGAAACCATTCCATGGGATGGAAGCAGTGCTTTGCTCCACCTCCTGAGACAGAGAGTGAGACCCCAAAGGGCCTTGTAGAGTCAACACGGAAGGTCACCAAACAGTCTTCTAAGGACGGGGGTCCTGCTCATTACAGGAATTTGTTTCCACGTGGAGGCTGGGCTGCTTCACTCTAACTCAGATGGGGAGGCCAAGGGCAACATCAATGTGTCTCCCCAAGGACCCTTTTCCCAGAAGGCCTCCCTTCCCCAAATTGGTAAACAGATACCTGGATGCACGTTGACTTGCAGGCCAAGTCAGCAACCTGCCTGCAACACCCACAGGTCTCCGCCAGGCCTGCAGATGAGATCTGCATTTGTTTAACTCTATACCGCTGATGAAAATATGTTTACATGTGTTACACAACAGCCATGACACAAGCACTAAACCTCTCACTTCAAAAATGAAGGAGGGGAGCCTGGGTGGCTTAGTTGATTGAGCATCAGACACTTGATTTCAGCTCAGGTCACGATCTCATGGGGTCTTGAGATCAAGCCCCGCTTCGGGCTCTGTGCCGAGCGTGGAGCCTGCTTAAGGTTCTCCTTCTCCCTCCCCGTCTGCCCCTTCCCATGCACGAATGCTGTGTGTGTCTCTCTCTCAAAAAATAGATAGATAGATAAATAAATTAAATAAAAATGAAGAATCCTAAGGGTCAGAAAGGGTGAGTGACTTATTTAAGGTCATAAAGCTAGCAAGTTGCAGAGGTAGATTTGGAAACCAGGTATCTTTCCCATGGTCTATCTGCTGGATCACCACTGCAATAACCAGAATACTTAATACAGTTCTTTACAGGGACAGAGAGCTTTTACAGCAGTCCTGGGTAGCACAGTCCTGGGTAGACACACACTCACATACACAGACCAACAGACACGTGCATGCACACATACTCATACATACACATGCTCCTGCTTCTCCTAAACGTAAAGTAGTCACAGTAACACTACTGAGTGGACCCGTCTTCCCTTCTCTCGCTATGGACTTGGTCTCCGCGTATTCATAAGTTAGGAGAGTAGCTATCACTTAGGTGACTTCTAAAGACACCCAGGTCAAGTGCTGAATCGATACGCTGGTCCCTGTATCACTCACTGCTTAGATCAGCGTTGCATTGGTGCTAAATAACTGCCCATTTTCATTTCTGTGACACACGAAGCAGCCTCTTTTCTTCGTGTCTGCCTCAGTCAGGACTTGTTTTCGGGAAGTGGCTATTTCCAAGGCAGATGTAAAAATCACAGCACTTGGAAAAAAACTCCCCCCTACAATCAACCATTTCCCCCATTTCTAGGCAAAGCAAAAGCAGCTGGTATTGGATGGATATAGGCATATGTGCTCTATTTAAAAAAAAAAAAAAAAAAAAAAAAAAAAAAAAAAAAACCAACTCCCAGTTTTTCACAGCCCTTCCTCCAAATTTGCAGGTCACATAAATTAAATTATTCAGCAAACAAGGTGTCAGTTAGTGTTGCACAGCGGGGAGAAAGTTATTCACGGAAACAAGACTGAGGCCAAATCAAAGCGAAATGCACTGATAAACGAACAGGCCACCTCCCAGCTCAGCTAAGAGGGCCTGTCATCTCGCCCACAAAATAAAGATTACAAACTCCCCCACCAGCCTCAGGGAGGCTTCACTTTTTTTTTCTTTCTCAGAACACATAATTCTAGCAAAAGATCTTACTGAAAATAAGGTCATATACTTAATCCATAAAGCAATCAGCTCGTCTAATTTTAATCACTCCTCTTTCTAAGAGAATTTCTGTAAGCAGGCCACACGACACAAATGGAATTAAAATATATTTTTCTACCCTTTTCCCCTACTCTCAAAGGAAAACTCCATATACCACTCATCTTGCTGAAAACCGCAGGAATAGAGTGATTTAATTCTAGTTAAACCAAGTACCTCAACCGCACACCCTTAAACCTTAATCTTAAACATATCCAGGAAACATGACTTTTGAGAGCTTTCTTTCTAAAGTATTCACTCAGTAAATCTGCAATAGATGGGAAGCTCCTCTTAAGTGCAGGCTCTCAGTGATGTCCTGAGTTGGTACAAAACACACAGAGAAATATTCTATTACAGTAACTTTTTTCAAAATTGCTTTTATTCTGCACCATTACTTAAACTTGTAAAAAAATTTAGTTAAGCTCCACAGTGGAAATTCTCATTAGGTAACCTGGGGTGTGGGTATTTCTGAATTTCTTTCTAGTAAAGAAACTGCTTTGCATCAGAACATCCGGGGTACATGGAAAAATATATATTTTGATACAAATGTAAGTAAATACACACTTCCTGTTTGTTTCAAGATCCTTTAGTCAGTACAAACACACTACAATCAATCCTTAACGTTGAATTTAAATGTAGGTGTGAAAACAGCTTTCTGCTAGTTAGACCAGAGCTCAACCAACACACCCTGTCAAATACCCAGTCAAGGGGAAACTGAGCCAGCCCGGAGCCGCCTCAAAATAATCATTCTTTGTTTACCCAGAAACTGAACGACTTTACACACAGAGACACAGCTCCCAAAGCAATGCTCTGAATCCAGACAGCCCTATTAGACTCTCCATCATTTATTTGTTAAAAATTTAACATTGTAAATGAAACCAAAGCAACCACTAACACCACAGGGGTAATTAAATTCCTGGTTAGAGGAAGTTTCAAAATCCAAACCCAACACCAGCATCTGGCAAGTCGCCAAATATGATCTACCAATACTTACTTGCTCGTGTTACTTTGAAAATGCAGACAGAAAGTATTAAGATTTTAAAAGCCAACTAATTCGTTTGTACCCTGTTTAAATCACATAGAAGACCTAACTCCAGCCGCAAACATAACTTAGCGTCTGCCTCATCTCGGAAGGGCAAATGCTGACAAGAGTTACTGCAGACAATTAAATCTGTTCCTGTCCAGGGGTCTTGATCAATACCCTCTGCAACGTAATCACTGAAATCGCCTCTCCATCCTAGTCCCTTGGATGAGGTGGTTTATTTCTGGTTTCCAGCCCGCGCTGGGCTAGTAACTCCTTTCTCTATAATTTGCACATCTCTTCGAAGGGAGAGGGAGCCGCCTGATTCAAATTGCATTTGTTTACCGCCCACTGCTCCAATATTATGCATTCCCGCGACCCAGTGGCAAGCGCTTCCGGCACCCCCTGTACCTGCCAAGTTCCTCGCCGGTGTCGTAGTAATCATCCACGTTTTCCTGCCTGAACACAGTCATGATAAACTGTCACACCTCAGCAAAGCCCAGCGCACTTCAGCTCCGCTTCCCACACCATCACCACCGCTCCTGCGCCTCCGTGGGCCCCTCATGCATCAGTCTCCAGCCCTTTAAAATAAGAGCAATAACAATAATAAAATGACAACCCGGAAAGGAAGAGGACCTCCCCATGCTAAGAGCCGCTCGCCTCGCCGAAGCCCACCTCTCCCCAGCTGCCCCTCCCCGCCCGGCGGAGAGGAGCACCCTTTGTTAAACCCGCGCCAGGGACGCCCCCGGCCCCGCAGCGCCCGCGCGCGCGTGGGGCCGGGCGCAACCGCACCCCAAGGTCCGCGTCCCCGAAAGCAGGGCGCTCTGAGCGGATCAGAACCGGCTCCGGAAGTGACTGGCCTCCCCGCCTCCCCTTTCTCCACACACACGCCCACCCAGCTCCCCACCTCCGGGAGCGCCGCGGAAGAATGAAGCCCGCGCCCGGGAGGAACGCGCCTCGCTGGAAGCATCCTCCAGCCTGCTGCTGAGGCTCATGGCCCCTGCGCCACCTTCCTGCTCCCACCCCTGGCAGCCGCACACCCCCTCTCCTCCTCCTCCCCAGCCACAGGCAGTCCCCAGAGGCACATTCCTGGCGATCCCCTGCACATTCCCCGGCCGACCCGGCGCGCGGCCGCCCGGGGGAGCAGGGGAGGAAAGGGAGCGGCCGAGGGAGGCGCGGCCGCCTGCTCCCGGTCTCCGCGCCCCGACACAAAGCGCCCTGGCCCGGGGCCTGTTAATTTGTTCCCACCCGGCCCGCGGGCCTGGGGGCGCCTCCTGGCTGCGATCCCACTTCTCCCCCTCAGTCCAGCCGCCCCTCCCCTCGGCTCCTCCCAGTTGCCCTGGCGCGTCTGGCAACCCCGTCGCGCCGCCGCCGCGAAAGCAAAAGGGCGGCGGGCCTGGGAGGAGCCGGGAGGCGGCACACTCACCTGGCGCCCAGGAGCTGCCCGAGTCCTCCCCTGAGCTGTCGGAGGCCGACCGTGGGCGCCAGCCGGAGACGAGCGGGCGGCGGCAGGAGGCGGAGGGGGCGGGCGGGGCGCGGCAACGTCCGCCCCGGCGTCTGCTCGGCCGGGCGCTCCCCTCCGGCTCGGGAGCAGCTCTTCGGCTCGCCGCCTTCCTGCGGAGGCTGCCGGCGGGCGGCCAATGGGGACCCCGCGAGCGGGTTGGCGGCACGGCCCACCCACCTCCGTTGCCGGGTCGGCCGGCGCTGCGGGGCTCTGCGCAGCGCTCATTGCTCCTCCTGCTCTGCGTCTGCCTGCTGGCGCGCCTCACCGCTCACCCCCGCGCACACCCACCACCGACCAACCTGAGCCGGGGAGCAGGCAGCCAGGCGCGCCGTGGGCGCTCCACCTGTGCACGCCGCTCGGCTGCCCCCCACGGCCGCCGCGTTCCAGAGATACGCGATTCCTCCGTCCTGCAATGTGAATGAGGCCCTGCGTGTGCCAGGCACGGGGCTGGGCACCGGGAACTCGGAGACCAAAATAGATTTAAAAGAAAAACAAACAAACAAAAAAACCCAAAAACCCTGCCCTCATGAAACTTACATTCCAGGAAGACGGGGAAGCCGTAAGCAAATAAGATCACTTTGGAAGAAATCGGCTCAAAGGAGACAGTAACACAGAACAGGCTAGAGTAGGGCAGAGAGGGAATGGGTCGTACAGTCCCTCTCCGGAATAGGTATGTCTAGCTGAGATCTGAATGATAAGACATGCAACCAGAGAAGAAAGAGTTGACGTCTCACAGGTCCAATGAAGCAACAGAGAGGAAGCGTTTATGTGTGCTCTTCAATATGTTTTTGGCTATTGATGACTTAAAATGTGGCTGGCTAGTCAAGAGTGAAGTGTTCAAAAAGTATCTCGGATTCCAAGACTTGGTATAGAAATAAGAATGAAAAGAGTCTTGTGAATATTTTTGTAATAACTACATGTTTGGATGATAGTTTTGGATGTATTGAGTTAAATAGAATCTATTATTAAAATTAATATCACCTTTTTTCTTTTTTAAAATGCAGCTACTAGAAAATATAACACTACCTTTGGGGCTTGCATCATGTTTCTGAAGACTGTGCTGGTCTACACAGAGACCCCATATTTCCTGGAGACTCTTCATCCATTCTATTTCTTACTCTGCTCCCACCACCCTTTTAGGTCTGGGGAACAGAAAGGATGGTTCCCCATAGGGACTTTCTGGGGATCCCCAAACAGAAGAAAGCTCCTACAGGGAAATTTATCTTACTTCTTAGAATGACAGAAAATATGTGAGCCCTCTGAGATTTTAGATTTACATCATTGTTCAAGTAATCTAGATTTCCTAAAATGAGAAGGTTTAAACTCTCTTTGGTTCAACAGAAATATCAACTGTAGACTTTTTGGCCTATTGCAAAAAAAGAATGGTTATGTTGTTGTTATGTTGTTGTTGTTTGTTGTTGTTGTTGTTGTTGTTATAGAGAGAGAGAGAGAGAGAGGAGGAGGAGCAGGAGGAGGAAGGAGGAGAGAGAAAGAAGAGAGAAAGAATGAGGAGGAGATAGCTGTAATGAAGAGGAGGAAGAAAAAAGAAAAGAAAAAGGAAAGAAAGGAAATAAGAGAGAAAGAAAGAGGAAGAAAGAATGGTTGTTGTTGTTGTTGTTGTTGTTGTTATGGAGGAATGGGAATGGTATTAAAATAGGAAGGAGGAGGAAAGAAGAGGGAAGAAAGAGAAAAAGGAAGGAAGGAAAGAAGGAAGGAAGGAAAGAGAGAAAGAGGGAGAGATGAGACAGAGAAAGAAAAAGAGAACGAAAGAAAGAAAGGGAGAGAGAGAGAAAGAAGGAACATTTCAATTCATGGTCCACAGGAAGGGCACACATTCATGATGACAGAAACAAGGGAAGGTTCCAAATCGGGAGATGGTACCTACCTTAGTGGTGGGTTTGAAAATTAATACAAAAAGATCTTGAGAGGTGAGCAATACAGTCAAAAAATAACAACAACAACAACAAAGTGATTCATCTGGGGGGGAGGGAATGCAAATGAATACATCTGTTGGGGGTGGGGAATTTTAAACACGGATGTTCGGGAGAAACTTGGAAAGCACTCATGGATGACTGCTTTCTGGGTAATATTTTTCCTGCAAAATAAATGGAAGTATGTTTTCCAAGGCAATGAGGATTATCTCTGTTTGGGGAATAACATGTCTTACCTACCATATTTGGTGTGCTAATCACAGGAGATTTTCTGGGGGAGTGAAAAGGGCAAGGAGGTAGGAGTCACAAAAATAGATCTAATATTGGTGGAACCATTTAACAGCTGACTCTGGATGTGTCTCTTACCCCCAAGCTTCATGTCTGCGTTAATTTCTGCGAGCATTTTCGAGAAGGAAAATGTGGTAGTTAAAAAAAAAAAAAACATGGCCAAAAATTCAGTCAAGAAGTGAAGTCTAATTTTTCCCCCCATGATTATGAGTTGGCCCTGATGTCTTGCTTCTGAAAAAAAATGTGAGGGAAGTGACACAGCATAACGTCCTTCTAAGACTAGATCATAAGGCACAAAGAACTTCTGCTTCACCCTCTTTCTCCATATCTCACTCTGGCTCTCTCTTTCTCACTCTACTCTCTCATTCTCTCTAACACTGGAAGCCTTCAGCTGCCATGGTTACCCTGGGGCTGCCATGTGGAGAGACCATGTGGAGAGACCACAGAAAGAAAGAAGCCCAAGGAAGCCAGCTGTTCCAGCCCCACCCCCACCCCCAGCTATTCCTGTTTTCACAACCGGGTTCCGTGAACAGAATCAATGACTATTTCTGTTTTAAGTCATTATTTTGGAGGTGGTTTGTTACATAGCAATAGACAACTTATCAGGGACTCAGATAGAAAATAACACGTGCCAGATGCCAGGCCAACTAAATCATTCTCTTAATAAATCTTCAAATAACTCTGTATATCAGTTGTTTCCATTTTTTTCTCCGCTTTATACTTAACCTTAGTGTCAATTTCATCACCGACAAAATGAGGACGATAATAGACCCTCGAATGTTCCTCAGGTTTGGTGGGAGAATATAGAGAGATATTACATAAAATAGGGCTTTGTACATTATAAGATACATCAGAATATTGTATATCATATTTTCTATCATGTTTCCAGCAAAAAGGGCTCCATGAGGCATCTTTCAAATGGAAGACAGCAATACAGTAATCCTCAGATTATGAGATTCAAGCTGGAAAGGGCTTCTCTGAAAATAACTGATTATGAATATGGACAGTAGATTATGATAATCATGGTGATAGCATTTAAAACAAGTTCAAATATAAAACTTAGAACATTGTTTTACTAAGGTAAAACAACTGCTGCTATAAAGCCCAACAAAACTTAAGAGTTTTAACAAATTAAAAGTCTATTTCTTGCTCTCAGCACAGAGGCCTGCAGGAGGTAGACAGAGAGCTTGGTCCCACATAATCACTCAAGGATCCAAGTTTCTGCCCTCTGATTGATCCATTGTCCCTCAGTGCACACGAGCTTTTTCGTCGGTCCTTTTCTTCTGCTGGCTGATAAGAGAAAAGAGAATCCAAAGAAGACTACACTGAAGGTTTATTTAGGGGGTCAGGTTTGAAGTCTAAGGCTTAACCATTTGGTGGCAAGATATTCTAAGATCTATCAGATTGGTCCACATTAGTTCAGTTCACCTTTGGATTACTCTTTAATAACAAGTCTTTGGCTTTTATCAAGGGCCTATTTTTTTTTAATTTTAATTCCAGCATAGTTAACATACAGTGTTATGTTAGTTTCAGGTGTACAGGCACTTATATTTTTAAACAGCCCCGTGAAAAACGTTTCTGCACCCGTGGCTTTCCTCGGAGGGATTGCCCGTTATGCAGCTGAAGGCCTCTTATGTAGGAAGTCACATGACTGAATCCAGTCCCTCCCAGTACTGAGCACTAAGCTAACTCGTCTCTCTTGAACAAATTATGTTTCTTTTTCTCAGAAAGTGAAAATCATAAAGTTCATTCTGTTTTCCATTTTCCCTGGATTCCAAAAAGCATGTGGCAAGCTCAGAAAGTATAGTCCCCCTAGTAATGTCCAACTCACGATATT